AGAAACATCGCTTCAAGTTCTGGTGTGCAACAGTCCCGAATGCAAAGTGTTTAGCATCGCGCGTGTACTGTGGCTAACAGATTTCTAATACAATACAGCCCGAGGTATTCTGGTACACAGTCGTCGACCAAACAGGAATTCCCAATATAGGTCTGTACGAAAGCCAAACGTACGAGCCAAAGACATCAAATACTTGGTTTTACTTGTTAACAAAACGAAGCCAAGCGTAGTTGTTGTTGTTGTTGTCTTTGCTGTAAAATTTGACTCAGTGACAGCAGGCACTGTAAAACAGTGGGGTCAGTCCGAAGTACTTTTCACCACGCTACAGAATGTGGGGCCTCAGAAAATTAATATACGTTCTAAATATTTAAATTAACTTATTTTACAAAACAAATTCTTCATCAGCTTCACACAGCTCTCTTTGTGTCATTGTTATAACAACGATTTCATATGTATCAGCTTCGTGTTTATTTTTAACGTTCCTTTAAATCAGAATAATAAACGAAAATTTTTGACTTCAGAATTTGGGAAGGGGGGAGGGCTCTTAAACTTGACATATCTTAAAGCCTCAGAAAGTCGAAATCCGTTATTCGTTATTATACTTCCAATACAAATATCTATTTCTGACTTGTCCTTTGGAAATTTGTACTCAAATACAAACGTTTATATTATATTTTTGACAGTACTGGATGAAATTTTAATGGCGTACATTTTTTATCGAGTATATATATATATATATATATATATATATATATATATATATATACATGTATTAAGTAAAACACTGAACCTTTCCCATCGTAAGCCAATGTTCTTTTCTGTTGATTCTGCATTTCAGACATTCTTTACATGAATACTGGAACACGCTGTGTGATTTGTATACGAAAATAAATGCGTTGTCTGTTAACTTAAATGTGTGAGGGCGTAGCCAGGGCACTAATTTTAATTCTCCAGTGATATGAAAGCCTTGAGGTCACAGTTTCAGACAATAAAAAAGTCTTTATTTGCCAAGGCCTTGAGTTATTATGCCAAGAAACGCCACGTTAATGTTCATTTAACAACTTAATAGCTACATACAAGGATGTGCAAGGAAGCGGACATGACTTACTTTATATTATTACGTCAGAATTTGTCTGGTGCGGAACTGAGAAACCATCATCGGTCCAAGATTTGAACTTGGGACCTTCCGAACGCAAAGACATAGACTGGTCCACAATATAAACAAGACGTACTGGTAAATGTAAATTTAAATTTAAATTAATTAAACCAGCAAAAAACCTAACCTATCATAAAATTCTAGTTAGAAAAACATAAAAAATAGTCCAAAAATATTTTTTTATCTTTGTAATGGTGAAGTGCGGTGTTTTCTTTGAGGTACGAACTAAGAATCTTTTATTTTGATGCACTCGGCATCGACGGTTTAAAATAATATTTAATTAGTTCAGAAATGTACCACCAAATCGTATATTCCCTATGCATGCTTCTTCCTTGATTTATTTTTCATATCCGGCTAGAATAAAAAATAATCTGCTAACTTCTTAATTAACTACATTTTTTAAGTAGTGAGACTTCTACGTTTTAATTAAAGTTTCAAAGTGTTAAATGTCACAATACATTCTTTTCTTTTACATAAAAGAAATTAGAGAGGAAATAAATGTGACGTAGTGAGTGACCCTTTCATTGCTTTGCGAGGAAACTGTAATATCACGGTAGCTAAAATATTGTTACTGAGGTGGGATGGGGGTGGGGGGGGGAGTAGTTACAAATGTGACAGTTGGTCTATGACACGTGACGCGAATAGCAAGATGACGTATGGGCTTATTTGTCGCACTCGGCCTTATTCAGCATGACCTCGTCTCTCAGCTTCGTTCCTTAGCTCCAGTCACGTGCCCTTCAAGAAGAACGGGGCCCCTTTTTATTCCTAATGTGTTAAATGTGAAAGGTCCCCTTTTTGTCCGCCTCCTTCCGAACTCGAATTATTATAAAAAAACAAGAAAATCGGTAAAACTTATCAGTATAAGAAAAAAATGCCTGAATTATTTCACATATTCTACCGATGTCTTACCTACTACTCGTTACAGTTCGTCCTCAATATAATGTAGATGTTAAAATCACAGTCACATATCAAACACGTTAAAACATTTTTCGACATGTCAATTCCGCGTTAGGTGCGTTTTAGAAAGAAAAAAAAAAGCTTTCTTCACGCAGAGATTTTCCAGTTTAAAATTACTTATTTTAACCAAACAATTTACACACAAAACACCGCGTGCAATTACGACAAACACATATATCAGTTTCACGACACCAACAAAATGTCTTACTCTTTGTTATCAAGAGGGCAGAATCCACGTCTGTATCAGACTCTCTGCAACGATAACCACATCATCACATGTCTGCCATCGACATGTACGAACACGCGGTGAAATGTGTAACAACTGACTGACGAGAACTGCGCTTCAACGCTTCACTCGCCGACCGTCTCGGCACAACTGAACAGACCGCACTTGATCGTTGCTAGATATCGAGAGTTGCCAGCGCCAGGCCACGTGCACGAGCGAGACAGTACGAAGGACCGACCTCAGCAGTCTACAGGGACCATTTTCCACTGTATGTGAAGTCTAAATGGGTAGAAGGTGAATTCGATAACAGGACATCTCGTCTGTAAGGAGAAACTGACGAGAGTGTGTGACAAGACAAATGAAAGTGTACTGTTTAGCCTCCCTTATGTTTGTTATGTGTATTTATGTACATGTGTACACATGTCTGTAAAAAAAAAAAAGATGAACATTTCTTGGCAAATGTACTGAAACAAGGTAACACATCTCACGAGACGGAAAAACAAGACCGATTTTCTGTCTTCGTTACCTGTTACATAATTTTCGTTTGTTCATTTTAACACGCCAAAGCGTTGCCAGATGGTTACAGATGGAGTTTCGACAAAGAAATGCCCCCATTGAATAACAAGATATTTCTGGAACGCAGAGTCATTAAGATGAGTTTTCTTGCTGGCAAAACATTGTGGACTGAGACACACACACATGTTGGAACGATCCTCTGAGAATTCTATGAAAGTCCTCGCTACAACTCACTTTTGAATTTTTTACCTTACGGTCTAACATAAAATCCTAAAGATTAAAATACAGGCCCCAACAGAGTTATAATTTTATATTTAATCTTTGTCTCTCACACTTAAGGAAGAACACAGACTAAGGACGTTTAACAATCTGGTACCGACGAGAAATTTCGACTAAAAAATACAGGGATGAACAAAATATACAGAAAATTTCATGATAAGCTTCAGGAGTTGTATTCTTCACCAGATATTATTGAAGCCTTAAATCGAGTAAAATATGTTTAAGAATTTTAAAAAATCGGTCCTCCATTAATAGTCTCACCCCCTCACACACATGCGTCTGGTGAATCCCTTAATAAACTTAGTCAATACAATACAAAGAGCCCAACATTCGACTTCACTCTCGCAATAAAAGTCCCTGGTTCAATGGGGCATTATAGATCAACGAAGTATAAATGTCCAAAGCAGTGGCTTTTAAAACGTCACGTGTGACAGTAAAATATAAATGCTTTTTCGTTGGCTTTAGTTTTCCGTTTCGTAAAGTTCGAATTGAACAAAGGGAGGTTTCAACATCGCCCATTACACATCCTTTAAGTTTACATCACATTTCGTTTCGTTCATAAAACTTTGAAGTAATATGTGCACTGAAAAAAAAATAAAAGTTTGTGAACTTTTGAAAATTTTAAAGTTTCATATACGTACGTACATATCTGCATACTTAATATTAAACACTGTTTTGAAGTTACAAATTATAAAACATGGTGACAGTAAAAGTCTTTGAGGTCATGTTTAATGTATGGAAGCATAAGTTACTCGAAATTATATAAACAAAAATCACCATATATTATAATTTATCATTTACATTTGGGTAATTCAAACGAATCATAACACCTGCCAGCAACGTCACATATTAACAATTAAAATATTTTGTATATAAACGTAACTGATTTAGCACTCATAGGAATAATCAGAAATGGATACAAAATTTTTCCTGGAATACCTAAAGGAACACTTGAGAGCCCTAGGCAAAAATGAGATAAAATAGCCGGTTCCTGTAAACATTGCGGTAAACTTTTGGGTTAAAAGAAGACAGATATTTCTTGTCTGAGTGAATAGGTTTATTAGCTTCTCGAAACGTCGCCTGCCCCATATAGTTAAGATACATCAATAATCTAACCGCATTATAACATGTAGACTCAAATCTAAAACTTCTTGACGATGGTGAAGAGTCAATTGAATAAAAATTTCCTTGGATATTATCCATCGTCTAGTAAATATAAAACGTAAAAACGACGTTTCGGAGATGGGACTCTATCTCCGGGCCCAACTGTGTAGGAACCTGAAGACAGAGATAGAGTCGACTATTTAATACGTTGCCTCCCAATTGTTTCGAGCCGTGGCCCACCGGGAGCCAACGTGTTAATGGCATACATAATCGTACACAGGTCGTCCAATAAATATTCTGACGAATTTAAAGGTTTTGTTTCCCATTTTTTTTTTGGTAACATTCTGTATATAAAATTGAAATTATGTGTACGTGTATGTTCGGTTATAGTTCGAGAAACGATATTCCGATTTTCATCAAACTTGGCACTTCGACCATAAAGACAATACAGGAATTCATAAGATAGTATAATTGCGTCATATTGTGAATCAAATATTAAATTAATTATTCGGTTTTGCTTTACAGGCCGATGTAGAACATCAAAAGCATTTCACTTCAAAACATTACATTTGCTCCGATATATGAAAATAATCTGGATATGAACATCACCAGAAAACATCACCAAAAAGCTACACAACAGAAATTGTAATTGAGTTTTAAGTTTATTGATATAATTTTACACCTGAAGATGGTTCGATGAAACCGAAACATGTTGTAAAAAATGTTCCAAATGTAAATCGATTATTCGATGTGGAACATAAAATGATATTTTAATTATCTTATTTGTAAATTTTAAATATAATTGTGATTAGACGGACAAAACCGAATAATTAACAATACAGAAACATCAAAGACTCCGGAAGAAGAGTCCTGAGTTTGAGGACCGGTTTCTGTAACTCAAAAACTAAGCACGATAGAAGAACGGCTCCAAAGACCAGACATGTTCGTTTAGAGAACGAGATTACAGAAGCAGTGGCCAGAACCCCCACGTCTGTCCTTGTTTCGAGTCTCGGTGAAGGTGATCGATAAAATATGTTAGTTTTTTGTCGACTGTCCCCGTACTAACACTACAGACCTTTTGCCAGTGTGAATCTAAATGACAAGGGTGCAGTTTTGTGCCGTATGTAAATAAATCTCACTTCCAGCTTCGCTGATCCGAAACGATCCGCCTCTCGGCCATGTCCTTTCTCCGTACAGCTCTGTTTACCTGCTCAATACTGAATCACTTTCTCGCATACAGGTGTCAAATTCATTTTAACAGGTCAGTAGGCCGCCTAAATGAGGAGAAACATAACAGGAGATAGCTGTCTTCTGGGTTGTAGCACTGTGCCTCCATCATCAGGTCATTTGCCCTGATTATGGAGGCAGAAAAGATCCCTTAAACACTGGTAAACTTTTAACAGACTACATGGCACTGCACCTCAGACGACAGTCATTTTCATATAGATTTCATCAGAAACCTTTAAAAATCTTCTTACAACCTTTCACCTGTTCCGACTCAGAATTAAATCTTTTAAGTCAAGCCATAGAGATCCTTCGATGGGGATCAGCTAATCGCAAGGCAGTTATCACAAGACACGCCAGGAAACGAGCAAGATTCTATCTCTATAAGGTCCATCTAAAGCTTACGCAGTCAAATTCTAATTTACGACGTCAACACAAAACAAGATTCCTTAAATGCCGATAGTTATATAAGATAATATTAAAAAAAACCCGAAGGTTCGTTAACTTATGCTTCGACATTTCGTGAATACTGACTCTTTATTTAAAGACGTGATGCACATTTTTAATAAAGACCTTTTGCATCCGTCGAATGCCCTCGTCTGCAACAGCTGTTTCAAACTTCTGCAAAGGACAAGTGATATCACCAAGCAAGGAAGTGGTAATCAACTTACATCAAACATTCCAAAAGGAAACATGATTTCCGTTTGTTAAGTTACAATACGACCTTGTGAAGACAATGCAAATACACCTATCCCTATATTTACGAACTCCCGATTTACGAATTTTTGTTACAACAAACCATGTACATTTATAACTATTTTTTTTAATTTACGAACATTATTTTCGTTGTAACGAAGAAATAATTAATTTCTTATTACTGATTATTTGTGATAGCATATTTACTACAATTAAAGTTTTAATAAACACAACTGTTAATTCTCTTTTGCGTGTTCTAATGTTTTTTTTATAACTTCTGTATAATGTAAACCTTTTATGTAACACTTCAGTAGTGCTTTACAGAGTTTTAAATAAGTAATAAATATCATAAAAAATAACAGTTCTTATTTTAATGATTGTATACAATTCTAACATATGCGGGGGAAAAATTGGGTGACCTTTTTTAATATTGTAATTATGTGGCATTTCACTTTCGTTGTTTAAAAATTTTCACCTTACGAACAGTTTCCATCGAACGAATTACGTTCCGAATGAGCGTACTTCATCACGAAAGATTCAGAGAAGAGTCAAACTGGGTTCTTTCCGAATACAAGTCAGGCAGAAAGCAGAACGTTTACTGAAATGCTGCTTAAATCACGTCTAAACTGAAATTAATCTCTCTGCTGTTTATACAGACACACGTGTACATGCGTGCAGTTTAAAAGCAAAATGACGCACTGGAGTGAGGACGATTACACGCGGAGTGCAACTGAAATGAGGAGGAAACAGAAATCCAGTTTAATTGGAAATTCGAAATGTAAATAATGCGATGTTTGGTTTAAACAAGTCCCTGCTCTAGCATCTAGGTCAGTAGACGTGGTGCTGATTGGGCTATTCAAATGTGCAAATGATAATGGAAATAAAAATTAAAGGATCATGCAGTGACATTAATTGGCATTGCATGATCATTTATTATTACAACTCGTTGAATGGCGTTACCGGCCACAAGCTGGACGATCAGGTTTCGATCCCCGGCTCATTAGATATTCTTTTTTCACCACGTTCACAAAAGCTCGGAACATAAAATGACGTTAAGGGTCCAAGGATGGCCTCCCAACTCGATCGTCTAGTGCAGTGGTATTCAACCTGCGGTACGCGTACCCCCGGGGGAACGCGAAGACATCTTAGGGGGTACGTGAAATTTTTTTAAAAAAATTTCACGTACCCCCTAAGATGTCTTCGCGTTCCCCCGGGGGTACGCGTACCCCCGGGGGAACGCGAAGACATCTTAGGGGGTACGTGAAATTTTTTTAAAAAAATTTCACGTACCCCCTAAGATGTCTTCGCGTTCCCCCGGGGGTACGCGTACCCCCGGGGGAACGCGAAGACATCTTAGGGGGTACGTGAAATTTTTTTAAAAAAATTTCACGTACCCCCTAAGATGTCTTCGCGTTCCCCCGGGGGTACGCGTACCCCCGGGGGAACGCGAAGACATCTTAGGGGGTACGTGAAATTTTTTTAAAAAAATTTCACGTACCCCCTAA